TCACCCTGTATATATATATATATATATATATATATACAGGGTGTCCGTAAAGTTGGGGTTTACCTTTACACGACGTGTAGATCTTGAAAACATAAGCAATTTTTCTTAGTACCATATACACCAATGTCTTAAGGAAACCGAGATAAAGGGCTCTGCAACATCAAAAACATCTGAATACCGTCCTGTAACCGCGACATCAAGGAGTGGTACAATGTCACTGACTCAACCCGACGACAGAACTGGGCCGGGGTCAGTGTGTCAGGTCAGTATGCAACCTTCAACCGACGGTTACGGTCACGCGTGTAGAGGTAATCGCGTAGACGAGAATCCCTCAACAAGGGGGTAGAGAAGTGCAAGTATCAAAAACTAAAGTGTGGCAAACGCTGCGTGAAGAGGGGCTGTATCCCTTTCACGTCCAACGTGTACAAGCCCTTCAACCTGACGATTTTCCAGCAAGAGTGCGGTTTTGTGAGTGGTTGTTGCATCAACATGACAATAATCCGGACTTTTTGAAGTGCATATTGGTGACAGACGAATCTACGTTCACGCGTAATGGGGTGAATAACTTTCGCAACACTCATGTTTGGTCAGTAGAAAATCCGCACGCTGTCCGTCGGGCACATTTTCAACAAACATTTTCGGTGAATGTTTGGGCTGGCATGGTGAACGGTATGCTCATTGGACCATTTATTCTCCCAAATCGATTGGACCGGATGCAATACCTAGACCCTAGACTTTTTACGCAACATTTTGGCTTCCTTGTTTGCCTGCGTCTGCTCGGTAGCGCATCAGCTGATTTCATTTTCTGTTGGAGCGGTATGATTTCGGGCAGAGACGTACTTAGCCCTTCTCGTCAACTGGAGAGTGAGTACTTTTTCCTTTATTGTTTTTTTACTTGGTCGCCCTCATTTCACTACACATTACCTGTGTTATTTCAAGGGTAGTCGTTTCTGAAAAGGAAAACCTCAACTTTGCAGACACCCTGTATAAAGAGAAAGGATCATGCGGAAAAAGGAATAAAACAAATAGAACAATAAGGAAAGTGGATTCGAGCAGAAAATAGGATAGGTAACCCGAGCGATACGTATTTGTGCTTGTTGGCTTCATCAGGCCCGAAATGAAGACACATGGAACCCCAAAAGTAGCTACATATGCCCATACATCCGGATACGAGTGTAACCTGAGGAAACGAAGATGGAGAGGAAAAAATGACACACGAGCCCCCAACAAGAGCCAACCTAGTACACATTGTAGTATAAAATGGCTAGAAGGCCTCGAATTTTCAAGGCGACATCATCTATTCCTTCTTTTTGCGGAATATGTCCATTATTTTTATTATTGGTTATATATAACGCAGGCCAATGAAACAGTATCGAAAACTGTGAGACTTTCACAAAAACAATCTATTACCATATACAAGTATTTTATTTGACCTATTTGCTTCATGTTCTGAACACCTTATCTTCAAAAACTATTCCATTTTCCAGGTGTGTCTTCTAGTTTCGCATTGGAAATTGCAGAAACGTCAGGGATAGACAAGGAAGTACTAGCGCGTGCTGCACTCATTATGGACTGTATAAATTCAAATACTCCAATAATGCCCTTGAGAGAGAACAGACAACTATCTGCTTTAGAAAATCTCAAAAATCTGGATATTCCACAGCCAGATATTCCTATTGAGAATAATAAAAATGCTTAAACTCAGAAGTTTAGTGTTTTCAACGTTGTGCTGCTTTTTCCGAAATATAATACTGGATTTTTCAAATTTGACTCTCACTACTGGATACGAAGTTGGTTAAGTGAGGACGAAGTTGTGCATTTAGGTAATCAAGGAAATAGTACTTTGAAAGTTTTGCAATTCAGAGTTTCCGGAGATAGAGGAAGAAAACAGAACTATCCCAAAATAGTTTTTACTTTTCCTGGCTTTATGTGATGTGTGATTTCAAAATAAATTGCATAGTAACATTTCCACTTTTTTTCCTATATAATAATAATTGGTTGATCAAACGAACTTACCTGTGAGTGATGTTCGATCTTAATTATGTGAACGCCTCGTCGAAGTAAACAGAACAGGTGTAGTACTCCGTTTCCCAGCCACACTCATAAGTTCAAAGCGCGCACACAGCAAAGGAAAGCTGTACACCGCGCCCTCCCACCTTCCTCCTCTCCAGCCCCTGTCCTACAAACTCTCATTTTCTTCAAAGCTAAGTGTTTTTTTACAAAATTAAATTACAGCACTCCTAGTCGTTGTTGCATTTTCTATGTCATTTAGCATATAAGCTGGCCGACTCATGGGTAGACGCGTTTCATGTTCTGTGGGCTGTCAATTGTGACACACCTAGACCACTCTGAAACAGACTTTATCCATTTACATATAGTGGGAACAGAGGCACAATGATAAAGTTTATTTACAGTTACAAAGAAATACTTTGGCTGGACAGATATTTAGGCGTAAAATACGGTAAACGTGGTTGCCACATAAGTGGCCCCGATGCTTTTAAAATCTGAGAAATCTCAATTTCAATCTTATTTAACCCGATCCGGATATTGTCTGTTTCAATAAGGGGCACAGTTCGCACACTATGATGCCACTAGCATACCCCAACAACCACAGTATCTCAAGTGGGGTATATTTCGGTTGAGATGGTCTCAATCTGTAAACGCTCTTCAAAAACCATCTTATGCCTGCATCTATAGCAGCATTCTTGGTAAAAGTTGACTTACAGAAAATCAAACAATTATCTTAATCTCTTATCAAATTGTAAGGTTATCAAGGTAGAAAAACAGACATATATATTTTCCCGATAAGGGTCCACCCGTAATCTAAGCCCACAATCATATAATGGATTGTAGATGCTGATCGGAATGACAGCTTTCTAGGATGACAGCCAAGATAAGCTTTAGAAATAGTGGGAGCGGGGTCCTGGGTTCCTCCAGCAGGATACAAAGGCTTCACACTTTGTGTTACTTCTAAAAGCGAAATTTCAGGGACACCGAACACATGAATCAATATCAGGACGGTGACAGGTGTAGTTCCCACTGCGTTTCCACGCCCCACTGACGCAAAAGATTATCTGTATCACTGTTACTCATAGTTTTTATATTTGATGCGAGGCTAGTAAGATTTCTCTCTTTACACAATTACCATAGCTCTCGAGCAACCTGGTCTAGGCGTGGAAACTGGAAGCTCTCCATTCCATTGATGTAGGATATTGTTGTCGCATTATATAATATTCGACAGCCCCTCAAGACGTGAGCAAAACATAAAACATTCACGACCGAAGAAAACTGCCAATAGTTCCAGATGATTGGCATGCGGGATCTTCTTCTCGGTTCACCAAAAACCATGAGACTTTTGACCTGCCCAGAGAATGTCCCAGCCCGAGAAATTATACAACTGAAAATGTGAACAGATGTTAGTGGCATAGCGTTAAAATTCTCTTGAGAATGTTACAGGGCAAGAAATTTCACTCGTTAGTGTATCGGGCCTCGATTTGGTTGCTGTCCGTTATTGCCCTTACTAAAAGTTTAGTAATATCTGCATCTTCCGCTCAAGTTTCTGCCACAACTGAATACTCTCTGATGGGTGTCAAAATCTGTGCATATTCCAAATCCAGATTCGCTAAGAAAATATACTCAGTGACATTAGAAGTATTACACCCAGAAATAATAATTTCTTCAACTTGATTTTTTGTAAACGATAACATTCTCACGAAATTTTATTAACAGTAAGAAACAAAATTAATAATGTGTTGGGCTACTCCGCAGCTGAATACACTCCTGTATACGTCTAGGCATCGACAAAATGAAATGGTCGATGTTTGGATGTGGCACCTCATTCCAAGCAACGCGAACATCGTGGATTAGCTATGGCAGAGTTTGTGGCGGATGGTGCAAAGTGGATAGTATCCCACGGCAAAATATTTACGCCTGCTTCTTGAAGAAATACCGAAGTACGACGAGCAATTTGGGGACGTGAGTTGACTTGCTGAAAAAGGACGTGTGGACGGCCCTCTAGATACGGTAGTGAAATGGTTTGTAGGTCATCATCAACATAACGCACAGCAGTCATATTGCCTTGAACAAAGAGAAGCGGTGATCGGCTACCATAGGCAATAGCCCCCCAACACATTACTCCAACAGTCTTATGTATATGCCTCTAAACAGCAAATCCAATATCACGCCGTTCTCCACGGCAACGTCTGACCCTTCTACGACCATCGTGCATACCTAGACAGAGAATCGCGATTCGTCGCTGACGATATTATGCCATTGTGCCTCCCAATGTTGCCGTTCTCTGCTCCAGTTCAAACGTTAAAGACGGTGGTCAGCAGTCAGAGGAAGTACTAACCCTGGACGGTATGAAAGAAGTACAAAGGCTCCAATGTGGCGATAGAGTGTACGCATAGTAACAGGTCTACCTTCTTCTCCGAACCATTGGTCAGCGATCTGACGCGTAGTACGCGCCTTCGTGTTCCTCTACCTTCTTCTATCCACACCCGACACACACGCATTACCGTCATTGCAGTACAATCAACACGGCGGCCAATTTCGCGATACGACAAACCAACATCTCGATAGGCAATGTCAAAGTCTCTACCATGGTGATAATTTGGACGTATTCGAACTCGGGGCATTTTGTTATGCTTAACACTAGTAAATGAAAGGGCAATAACTAAAAATATCTGTACTACTCAGCTTTCAGAAGCTGCTTTCTTCACAAAAACTAAGAGATAAATATTCTAACATCGGGAATCAAAAACGATAAAACGTTGACATTGTTGTCACATCATGCTTTAAATATAGTCACTATGTTGTCAAAAGAACAAGTTGAAGACTTTTTTTTGGATGTAACACTTCTAATGTCACCGAGTATATCCGGATTAGGCTTTTACTGGCGTAAATTGTTTTCGTCCATGCCACTAATCATGTAAAGCATTGTATCCTTATAGAGGGATGAAATAAAAACTAGTAGAAAAATTATATATGATTTATTTACACTTGTTTGTGGAAATTATAACTAATATATCATGAAAGTTGTTCATTGTTTCTCTCTAATTTAATAAAAATGTACAAAATCTAAAGTGTCCTCAAAAATCAACAGAATGAAAAGAAAATTTTGTTGATAAACGTCATGTCCAAACTTTAAATTTACTGATTATAAATAAGCCTTGGAATGTACTAAATGTATCAAAATTTACCGTCAGCTATTTTGAAGCCTATATTGAGTTAATAAATAAATGAATTAATTTATAAAAAAAGTACGAAACACTTATTGGTTTACACCAACAAAAAATGATTAAACCTTTGAGCTTAACATTCTTAACAAGTCAAAATACCTCCATAAAACAAACGAAATTAACACTTGGAAGCGCTAACTCAAATTCTGTCACATAAACATGAATACTAATATGGGCTATTCAAATCACCGTCGATGAATAGAGATAGACATATCTGTTGACAAAATTTCCATTTCACGTTGTTGCTATCATTCACTGGTGAAAAGCCGAACAAACGTTTATTGTTGCAGATCGTATATATAGTCTTCGACCGAATATCATGAACATTTGTAAGAGCAGTGGACCAGTGGATGTTGGATTAATTGCTTACTATACCTAGTTTGACCTTCAACGGATTTTACGAGAAAGTTTCATTCATAATTGGCCTTTATTTTGTGCGTGTATCGACGTGCAAATTGTTTTTGAGCTTTTAAATTAATTTTTGATGACCCTGGTTGGCCAATATGCCGTGTTTGCAAGGTATACAGTCAGAAGACTGTCAGAAGGATTAAATTTTCACAGTTAGTAGTAAAACAAAAAAATTGAGATTAGGAACCTCCATTGGCATAGGGACGCCGTAACATTTTGTCGAAACATAAATGTTCGGACACGATATTAAAAAGAAAATAATAGCAGATTATGGAAACAAAATTTTTTTACAATTTGACGTTTTGATTTAAGAATCAATTCTGTGAATCAATTTGTTTAAAATGTCTCGTGGATATCGTTAAATAAATAAATGTCGCAAAGTCTACGGCGGCAGATATTGTAAAAAAGTTTGGAGACACAGGTTCAACTCAAGTTTCAAGACACGGTGTTGGCAGGCCACGTAAGATCAGTCCTAGAATGCAAAGATACGGCCAAAACCACGAAAAAATGGTTGCAGGATAATATTTCCGTCCCTGACTGGCCTTCCAGTAGTCCTGATTTAAATATTATCGAAACTGTACGGCACAGAATGAAGCAACAGTTAACAAATAATCCACAATGAAACATTTATGATTTACGAGTAAAATTACAAAATATATGGGACATTAATGCTGTTATTAAGGCAAAGGGAGACGTAACGAGCTATTGAAATGGTTCGTCCGAACATTTATGTGTCAGCCAAATATTGTTATTAATATTAGTTTAGTTTTATAGTTTAATCTTATTACTTGATGATAATTTTGTTAATATGATGGCCAAACAATATATTTCAATATCTTATAAAAGAAATTATTTTGTAACCTTAAAAAACATAAACTCTAAGATAAAATTAGATAATGTCCGAACTATTTTGTGTTAGGGCTCGTAAACAAATGTATATTCATGAAAGAACGGCAGTGTCTATCCTCTATATATCGTCGGTGGTTCGAAATGATCGACACTAAAAACCGAAACCGTGATAAAGCATCAATTCAAATATATTCAGCTAAGAAACTACTACACTGTTTCGTAATTACAGTTATTTTTTTTTCTACTTTTTGCATTCATATATGTATTTTTTTACGAAAATGTGCAGAAATATAAATATACCTATAAATACAAAACGGTAAAAAACTTACCCTTAATCACATATTAAGTATTCATCAACGAGGCTAATGTGTCTGTTTATTAAAAACAGCCTCTTTTTAACAAATTTTAATACTAACATAAACATAATAATCGCCAGTCAAGCTGTTACCACAAAATCTTGAAATATGACGTCTGCAGGATTCCTTAGTTATACACTAAGTTGGTTTGTCAAACATTTACCGATTCACTAACAAAACATTGTTTATTGTAATAATACATATTTTTATTTTGAGATCCATTTGTCTAGGGTTACAATTTAAAATTGCAAGTATACAGAACTGCTTAATTTATCAGTGTATCCATTCATCGTAATAAAGTTAGTCATATTGAATAATCAAGTATAACACCTAAAATTAGTATTATTTGTCAAGACAAGGAACCTCCAACATTGTTTGTCCTGCTTTCTACTTAATGCTGATATTCCTTTCATGAAAAAACATAGACTTTTTTTAAAAAGGTGGCCTCCCTACTTAGTTTTTGAAGAAGTCAGGTTAGCAAGTTGAAATTCCGAGTGACGAAACCAATGCTGGACATATTGGAACATCTGATATTTCATTTTGAAGCTGCTTACCAGTAGTTATGAATTTACTATATTTCAAAACAACGGATTGGCAGGCTGTCAAAGGTGAGCTTTCTTGTACACTGAATTACTTATAACTCAATCAAATAGTGGCGAAAAGTAAACAGGACTTTTGAAAGATATCCCATATAAGTAGCGCGATCTATTATCGGAGACTAGCGTTGGATAGGTACATCTTTCATTGAGGCCCTATCAAAATTTCATGTCAATCGAACCGCTTCACGCGGAGTTATCGCGCTCAAAGTGATAGTACCTTTTTAGCATCGCTCGAAAAATGAGCATCGAACAAAGAGCCAATATTAAGTTAAGTGTTGCACGATAATGCACCATCTTCGATCGACGTTTGTGTCCGATTTTTCGACAAAAAATGGCATTATGACCATCAACCACTCCCCATATTCTCCCGATATGGCACCGTGTGACTATTTTCTGTTCGGTAAACCAGATTTCGCAATGAAGGGCGATATGCCAACGTAAAGGCCATCCAAAAGGCGTTGACGACCATTTTGAAGGACAACCCGGCCAATGAGCTAAAATCATCATTCGAAAACCTTTTGGCCGTGCAAATCGCTCTCTTAACTCTGAAGGAGACTATTCTTAATAAAATAAATTCGATTTTTCGGAACAAAAAGTGTTTGTTAACTTTTTTCTTTGTCCTGTTTACTTTGCGACAGACCTTGTATATCAATCTTCATTTGGAACGATTGATTTGAATGTAAAATAAAATATTGTACATTCAGTTTTGAAAAAGTTGGTTGATTCTGAACTTTTTTTAAATGAAATGTTACATATTTTGTTACATTATTATTCTGATATATCTTTCTAAATGAAGAAGATTGATATCACATACAGCGTTTGGATGATTTGTTGCTGAGTTATCAGCGATTCAATGACTTGACAGTCTGCTAATTCGCCATTTCTCGAAAGATAGTAAATTTATGAATGAATAATAATAAAGGTTGCATATGGAGGTTGAAATTTTCAACTGCCATTTTTAGTATTCAATTCAATTTCATCTCGAATTTCAGCTGGTTAGTTTAATCCGTTCAAATGAATAAGAAGAGAGACCTTTTTGGAAAGCAATGTATAAATACATTACAGCACTAATTTTTTTTCTAAATCGTATACAATTGCTCTCCTTATGTAAAAATAAATTTGTTCATGTCTTTGGTGTGAAACACTTGCAATAGACATTTCTTTGATATTTCTCTTTCTCACTTACACAGAAGTTAATTTATTTGGAAAGCATTTAAGCAAGCTATTTCCTTTCAAGTGACTGATCTTTCACATTCCTATGAAATTGCTCTTCTTCTATATTGAAAACTTAAATTTTTTTATTTCATTGTTCTGAAAACCTTGCGATATTTCTTTTTTATTGTTCTTTCACACTTATATAGAAGTTAATTCATTTGGAAGTATGAACTTTCTGTATCATCAATCGTAGATCCAATTTAACAATAATATATCCTTTAAACATAAATCGCAACATCTTGAGTGTACCTCTTATGAGGAGTTATGATGAAATCCAAAATAATCCTTACTAAGTTGTTAACATAACTCTGAACTTGTAGGCGATATGAGGGGACGATTCTTAAAACTGAAGGAGTAGAATAACTGATACAAATTGGACATGGTTTTATTACCTTTCAGGGTACTTTATTATTTATATCAGCTTCATCTCTAAACACAAAGTTAACTTTGCGATTATTTTTTGGAAACGGATGTATTCGCAAATTTATTTGATAAGCACCAAAACAGACGTCAAAAGCTGTCATAAAGATAACCGAATAGTTTCTACTGGTTATTCTGCTCCTTTGTTTTCAAGAATAGACCCAATAGTGTTTGGGTTTTCCCTCAATGAGAAAATTGCTCTAACGAATTTCTCCCACAGACGTCACTAAAATAGAGATACCACGTACATATAGAGCAGGATAGCAATACAGGTTCGAATAATTCAGATGTATAGAAACAAATTATAATGGGTCGTTTTCTCTTTAAGTAGTACATTAACCGACCCTGTTCTCAGATGCGATTGCCGTAATAACAAATTTATGATTAGTAAATAATACATTTTATTTAAAAAATACTAACGTTATTACCGCTAGGACATGGGAACTCTGTAAAATTGGATCTTACTCTATTCGTAGTACCCCCAAGATTAATCAATGAAAATCAATGAGAATGTATAGATTCCTGCGCTGTAGATATGTAAAGAATATCAAACAAAAATATACATGAAAAATCTGTTGTCATACACATAATAATTAGGCGTCTGATACAAAAAGTCAAATATGAGTTTTTGGGGGCATAAGACGGTGATGTTAGTCCCATCGTTAGTACCAAGATGGCGGTCAGAGTATGGTGCATCGTGACAACCAGCTGGTTGTTTTTTTCTGCGGCTCTGAAGGACGCAGCTGGTGACCGCCTTTCGGTGGATTGCTTGCCTCCTAACAAAGAGTACAGTCAAATTTATCATATTGCACGAATAACATTTGATGTACAGGGTGGCCAACTAAGAATGCGAGGTACTGTGTCTGGGAACATATCCATCGTAGGCCCCGTAGCGGCCATTCCAGAAACTTGAAAATATTTTCCAGGTTTTTCTCTTGGCTGGTTTAGTAATAACTTTTTTGTCGCAAGCCTCTACGATGGATAGGTTTCCAGATACAGTATCTCGCAATCTTAGTTGGCCACCCTATTCATAACTGGGGTGTTTTAGTAGCAAGGGGCAAAAATTCAAAACTTGGTTCTTTGAACTATTCTATTTTAACTCTGCTTTGTCCTCTGATGATTTTCGAAATGTCGCTTCGTTTGTATCGGAGATTCACGTCCTTAATGGCGTCACTGGAAATCAGGTTTTTTTAAATAACTTGATGACGTCAAAGCTTTCTTTTTAAGATACTTTTGGAATCGATAGTCCTTTTGAATGAAATTTGGAATACGTGGTTTGCTAGACGTCCTAATATTTGACGTTTATAAAAATCCCGAAAAGGTTCGAGATCGGTGAAATTAACCGCCACCCCTACATAACTTATAGCAGAAATTTTTCGCAACTGTTCCAACGATCTCGACAAAAAGCGATTTGCAGTGGTTTCCTTTAGGGGTCTGTAGCGCCGAAAAAAGACAATAGAGTCTTAGAATAATCCTAATATTCACCTCTTGAATTTTTGCCTCATGTTTTGGAAACACCTCATGTGAATCAACACAGTATAAACAGAGGCGTTATCAATGTGTAACGAGAACATTATCGGTTAAAAATTATGTAATAGTTTAGTGAATTTTTGGGACATTGCATGGGGGTTATTGAAGGAAAAATCAAATGACAAACTTGATTCAGCACGTGTTGATACATGCAAATCCACACAGTATAAGCAGAATCAATATGAAAGAAAAACTCTCTACGCTTAATTTAAGGAGCCCAGATCATATAACACTTTTGATACCCAAATAGAGCCAGCCATGTTTCAAATATTCAGGGCGTTCCAATTTTCCGTGGACATAGAGGTACCACGTATTTTAGAGTCTAAACCATTCGATTCGACATGATTTAATGGTTAAAAAATAATAATTGATTCAGCACGTGTTGATACATGCAAATCAACACAGTATAAGCAGAATCAATATGAAAGAAAAACTCCCTACGCTTTATTTTAGGAGCCCAGATCATATAACACTTTTGATACTCCAATAGAGCCATGTTTCAAATATTCAGGGCGTTCCAATTTTACGTGGACATAGAGGTACCACGTATTTTTAGACTCTAAGGCCCGTATCGTCAGTCGTCCCTACAATTGTAGGGCGCCTTTATGGCCTCCTTGATTGTCATAGTTTTCTACTTTTCCGTGTCAGCGCTCTATTTTCAGGTTATGTCACAAACATCTATTTGCATCAAATTGTGCTTGCTTTTGAGTTGTATCATGTTTTATCAGCCTGAAATTTCCTACAATTTAAAAAGAAAACATATCTTCACAATAGGAGAGCGTTGACGCTGACACGGGATAAGTGTAATCTAGAAATTTTTGAAGGAGAGAAAGGAGTATGACAATCAAGGAGGCCATAAACGCGCCCTACAATTGTAGGGACGACTGACGATACGGGCCTTAATCATTCGATTCGACATGATTTAATGGTTAAAAAATAATAATTGTTTCAGCACGTGTTGATACATGCAAATCAACACAGTAGAAGCAGAATCAATATGAAAGAAAAACTCCCTATGCTTTATTTTAGAAGCCCAGATCATACAACACTTTGATACCCCCATAGAGCCATGTTTCAAATATTCAGGGCGTTCCAATTTTCCGTGGATATAGAGGTACCACGTATTTTTAGACTCTAAATCATTCGATTCGATATGATTTAATGGTTAATAAATAATAATTGTTTCAGCACGTGTTGATACATGCAAATCAACACAGTAGAAGCAGAATCAATATGAAAGAAAAACTCCTTACGCTTTATTTTAGGAGCCCAGATCATATAACACTTTTGATACCCCAATAGAGCCATGTTTCAAATATTCAGGGCGTTCCCATTTTCCGTGGACATAGAGGTACCACGTATTTTTAGACTCTAAATCATTCGATTCGACATGATTTAATGGTTAAAAAATAATAATTGATTCAGCACGTGTCGATATATGCAAAACAACACAGTATGAGCAGAATCAATATGAAAGAAAAACTCCTTACGCTTTATTTTAGGAGCCCAGATCATATAACACTTTTGATACCCCAATAGAGCCATGTTTCAAATATTCAGGGCGTTCCCATTTTCCGTGGACATAGAGGTACCATGTATTTTTAGACTCTAAATAGTCTAAATCATTCGATTGGACATGATTTAATGGTTAAAAAATAATAATTAACATTAACCTCAAAAGTAGGCAAAGATGGCTATTTTTGCATTTTTAGGTTAGGATGTCTCGGAAACTAGAGGCAATCTCAAGAGATTTGGATCACGGATTCGGATTCAGTGCATCACAAACTTTCGGGAAAGTATACTCTGGAGTCTAGGCAAAAGGGTCGGCTACTTTTGTCGGCCTGTGTGATTTACCGAACTTTATTAGAGAATGTGGAAATGACCTTTGATGGATATTTGTCATACTGTGTTTTATTGACAAAGTGAATACGTGTAAAAATATTTATTATGAGAAAGAGATGTATGTATGTATACTACAGGGTGTTATTTAAGTACGTGGTCAAACTTCAGTAGGTGATTCTTTGAGTAATTTCTTTAAGATGAAAAGTTTATATAAATGTAGGTCCAGAAATGCTACATTTTCAAAATACCCTGTATTTTCAACCTTTTTTTAAAAATCGGTTTTTTCCTAAATATCTCAATAAACTTTCAGTGGTATTAAGGGCAGTAAGGGGCTAATCTATCCCCAATTAGGTTGAAATTAATAAGTCCAGTGGCGTCCCGGAAAACACCCTAACCAATATCTTTGACAAAAAATTTGTGCGCCACTGACTTTTTTCAATTATTCAATGTTTTTCGAATTAAGAAGCTAAAAAGTCAACCTTTTTGTCTCCTCAGTTTATTTCATATTATCCCGCTTCGTTTGCGAGATAAAAAAATAAAAAGCACTTTATTGCAAGTTACGCGAAAGTCGTCTTTTAATTTTTTTTGCTCAGGTTATACCCGCTTTCGATACGACAAATAAACATCAAATATTTACATAACGAAACGGTAAAACGTCTTTAAAACCAAACTTAAACTTTTATTCAAATGAAAACATTTAACAGTAAATAACACGAGACTTATGATAGTTGCTGAAAATGCCCTCCTTCAACCTCAATGCAAGCATTAGCTTGTTTTAACATTGACTGCCGAACTCGTTGAAATATTCCCGGCGAATGTCTTATCTGATCACATGAACCTCCTATCTGTTGGGTTAGTCCTCCTTCAGTGTTAACGGAACTTTTGTAAACGAAGGACTTTAAATGCACCCAAAAGAAAAAATCTAACGGATTTAAATCCGCGTACTTAAATAACATCCTGTACACTAGAGGTATGATGAGTGATATACAGCCTGTTAAATGGTAACAAGCTTTTATGAATGATGACCGGGGTATAGAAATACACAACATACAAAAAATCCTAATAGCATGCAATGTTATTTCCCTTAAAATATTATTTACCTTCTGCCAGTTGTGGTAGTGTAGTGGGAGTGGAAAGAGAGCAAAGAAAAACAAGAAGTAATTAGTAAAGATAAACAGAAGGTATGGTTATTATAGAAATTTCGATATAATTTGTTACAAGAGCCATAAACGCAAATAAAGTGAAGATGAGATAGGATTTTGGTTACGATTATTTGTTTGTCCAAATGTATCCATGAATCATATAATATTGGATGGTTCCTTAAGATAAAATCAGGCAATGTGAAGTCTGTATTAATATACAATATAATTTGTAAATTTCTCTTTAATTAGATAACTTTACAAATTGTAGTGAAACCATGGTTATAGGAATAAGACTGGAACGTGTTTTTAAACCATACAAATACAGTGCTTTTCTAATAGGTCCCCATACTATATTTGCACGGGTAAGTTAGCAAGCTGACATTTGGAGTAATGAAATGATGCATGGACATTGTAGAGTCAAGATGTCAGTTGAAAATTTCGAGATGGAGTGCCGTTTTGGACCATTTCTTTGAATGGAATGTGGGGTCGTGTGATATCTGACTTTGAAGCTCCTTTTAGGTACTTTATTACTTTTTTTTTGAAAAGCACTGTTCAAGTTTGGGCTTGTTTTTTTATCTCGTGACCAAATATAAACAACTAGGCCTGCCACAAATTTTTTTTTTCGCCAGACATATTCATTGTCAGTTCAATGAACCAAAAATTTGGAAAAACCGACTTTTGACTGAAATATCTGCCGAACGAATTATCAGCCAAATCCAATGACAGTAGCGAGAAAATGGAAAAGTTGCAAAAAAATTACATTTTTGCCGAAGCCGCAAACTTTGAACGCGTCTCCAGACCTGTTCGACCTAGAACGCTAAAAGTTCCTAAGGCCTCATACCTCCATAGAAACTCTTCAGAAAAAGTATTGAAATCGATCGCCCAGCTAGGTCATGGAATTACAACTAAATCCGAGAGTTTAGGTCTTGTATTTTGATGCCTACTACTCAGAGAGACACAGGGTGGCCCAACGAAGAGGTCGCACCTCCATTTGTGACTCTTCCGGTATATTTTGGGAAACACGCTCGGACACTTCAATTTTGTTTTCTAGGGGACGTCTTTTCATCTATAGCCGTACAATACACGGTGATCCAAAAATAAGATATTCCGTTATAATTCAATTTTTAAATGGAAACCCCCATTTTTTTAATCTTTAGATTCTCCATGAAGTTTTTAGTAACTTTTGCTAGCTATTTGAGTTTATCATAAAATTCTAGAAATTGTGATAGTAAGGGATTATATCGTAAAAATAATAAATATAG